TTTCCTTTGCCACGTTTAACAAATAGTGTTCTATCTACTTCACCACGAACAAAACCATTATGCAAGAGGTGTTCTGTCAATCGCTCATACCAAGCAGGGGGTGCTTGTTTGAGACCATAAAGAGCCTTTTTTTAATTTTAAAACATGGTCAGGCTTGAAAGGATCTTCAAATCCCTTTGGTTGCTTGATATACACCTCTTCATTTAAAAAACCGTTCAAAAAAGCACTTTTAACATCCATTTGGTGAAGAGTAATGCCTAGGTAACATGCAACAACAAGCAACAAACGAATGGACTCAATCCTAGCAACAGGAGTGAAGGTTTCGTCAAAGTCAATTCCCTCCTCCGGTGAATATCCTTGAGCTACAAGACGAGCTTTGTTACGCACAATATTTCTCAGTTCATCGGTTTTATTTTTGAAAATCCATTTTGTACCAATAACATTCCCAAAACTAGGTGGATGAACTAAAGACCATACATCATTTTTCATAAATTGGTCTAGTTCCTCTTGCATAGCATTAACCCAAAACTCATCTTGTAAAGCCTCTTGGATATTTTTCGGCTCAATTAAAGAGATGAAACAAGAATTCATTACCTCGGAGCAGCTGGAACTCATACAAGCTAATTTTACCATGTCGTGAAAATTTATTTGCTTCTTACGAGTTCGCATACCATCCGTTACCTCACCAAGAACTTGCGAAATGGGGTGAGTTTTTTGAACTCTGGTTGGAACATCTTGTCTCCTGTCAGAAACATACTAAGATCGTATTGGGGTCTCTGGAGTGGTATTCTGTTCGTCGGAAACACGTGTCGCATCAGGTGCTGTGTCAGGTGTCATGACACCTGGGACGACATTTGGGACGACATCTGGAACAACATCAGAGACATCATTATCAGCAGCAGATTGCGAAAATTCCAACAGCATCTGAGCATCCTCCTCAACATTTTTACCTGCCAAATCAAAGTGATCATCAAACACAACATTTACGGATTCAATAATAGTCTTTGTTCTAAGATTATACAATCTATATGCTTGACTATTAGAAGAATATCCAACAAAGATGCACTTATCGCTTTTAGAATCAAATTTTGATCTAGCTTTACGGTCATTTAACACAAAAGCAACACAACCAAAAATATGGAAGTATTTTAGATTTGGTTTCCTCCCCAACAAGATCTCATATGGTGTCATCGTACTCCCAACTCTAGAATACACCCTATTAGAAATATGGCATGCTGTATTTAAGGCTTCAGCCCAAAACCGTTTAGCAAGACACTTCGAATTTAATAAAGTTTGTGCCATCTCTTACAAGGTCCTATTTTTCCTTTCAGCTATCCCATTTTGTTGGGGTGTGATAGGAGCCGAGAACTCATGAAAATTCCATTTTGAGAGCAATAATTATCAAAAGAAGAGTTCTCAAATTCTTTGCCATGATCGGATCTAATCTCCCAATTTTCAAGTTATACAAATTGCAAATTCATTTGGACAAAGTAACAAAAGAATCAAATGCATTCGATTTTTCACGTAGAAACAATATCCACGTGAACCGGGAAAAATCATCAACTATGACAAAAGAATACTTTCTACCTCCAATGCTTTCAACCTCAATAGGACCCATTAGATCCATATGTAAAAGTTCCAGACAACGAGATGTATGAAAACTATGAGGATTGGAATGTGTCACCTTCGTTTGTTTACCTCTTTGGCATGAACCACACACGACAGAATTTTTAAAAGACAATCTTGGCATACCTTGAACAGCATCTAGTCTTACCAACTTGCCATCATATTGTAGTTCACATGCCCAAGCTTTTGGTGCCACAACTCTACCTCATCCAATTTTGCACGATTTCATAATGGATTGGTCTTGATTTGGTAGCAATTGTCAGAAGTTCGTACTCCTATCAAAATACACAAGTTAGACTCATTATTAAAAACATCACAAGATTTGCGATCAAATTTAACGTGAAAATTATCATCACATAATTGACTTATGCTAATAAGATTAGCCATAAGTCCTTCAACCAACAATACGTTCTGAAGCTTTGGGAGGCCTTCAACGTTGAGCGTTCTACGCCCTATAATCTTTCCATGCTCACCTCCCCTGTATGTAACTCGTCCACCTTCATATGATTCTATATCGCACAAGAAATCACGAGTGTCGGTCATGTGCCGTGAACACCCGCTATCAAAGTACCATGAACCTACAATATTAGACTTCAAAGAGGTATGAATAACATTGCATTTCAACTCAGATTTTGGTACCCAAACAAATTTTTCTTTAGTTCTATTTATGTGATTTTTGGACGAATTACGAGATACGGACGCCACTCCTGATTCAAAAGACTTATCAAATGAATGCAACTTATAGCAGTAAGGTCTAATGTGCTCGGGGGCATGACAATAATGACAAACATATCTACGCCTTCATTGTTTCGATTTCTTAACAACTTAGGCGATGATTTCAAATCAGACTTACCTGTTTCCTCTGAAGGACGCACAAACATGGTAGGCTTAAAACCAAGTCCCGCTTTCTTATGATTATGTTCAAGAGCAGCTAGGACATCCAATTGGCTCTTACCAGTGTTAAGTCGTTGAAAGGTCTGACGGGAGTATTCAAGTTCCTCTCTTACCTTCACCAATTTTTGGTCATGGCCTTATATGGTCACCTCCAATTGGGTTATGGTAGACTTTAGTGCATCATTCTCCTCTTCCAACTTTTTAGACTCTGAGCATATCCTCTTGTTCTCATCCTTCAACTTCTTGTTCTCCTTCTCGAGCCTATCCGCATCCCAGACAACATCTATCCATCGTTTATAAAGTTCCTTGTACACCTTTTCATGATCTTCATGGTTAACATATTCAATGTTGTCCGGAGGACCTATATCCTTACCTGAAGAGTCACAAAATAAGGTGTTAAGACAAAAAAATTTAGAATTTTTAATTTCATACCTGCCAGGTGTCATGACACTTTGGGCGACATCTCGGCCAACACCTTCCGGATTGATCTGTTTGGGCATGAAATCGCTCACTGTGGTCACAAAAGTAGCATCCCCATTATTTTCAGCTTCAGAATCAACAGAGCCGTCATCTACCTCTTCATCATCGCTCAAGGTAATAGTAAAACTCAATCCTCTTTTGCGCAAAGTATTAGCACATTCATTCGCATAGTGCCCATACCCTTTGCAAGCATGACATTGGATGGTCTCGAGCGACTTGGGAGTGAACTTTCTCCTACTTTCGGGTTTCTCCTTGTCTCCAGTCGGATTTGAACGATTTAAAGAGGACGAAGTAAATGGCTTCGGCATTTGAGACTTGGTGACTTGGTAATTCCCTTGAGTGTTTCTTTTCTTCAATAATGACTTGAACCGTCTCGTCATGAACGCTACTCCTTCATCATCAAACTCATTCTCTTCCATGTCTCGAACAAGACTTTCAAAATTATCATCATTCTCGGACAACGACTGAAGAGCGATCCCCTTCCCTTTTCCGGAAGGTGCACTCTTTTCTTTGAGATCTTGCACCTCAAGATTCATCTCGAACGTCTTCAGAGAGCCAACAAGATCATCAAATTTAATGGTCGTCACATCCTTCGAAACATCAAGCGCCGTGATCATCATATTGAAGCGCTTTGGAAGAGACCTCATTACTTTTGCCACGAGCCTTTCATTTGAGATCGGGTCCCCAAGGGAGTGACATTAATTGACAATACTCATCAACTTGGCTGTGTATGACGAGATGTTCTCATTTTCGAGGATTCGAATAGTCTCAAATTTTGCCGCAAGAAGACATAGCCTCGTTTGACAAACACCCCTCGAACCCTCACAATGACGTTGCAAGGTGTCCCATGCATCTTTCGCAGTAGTACACGTGCTGATTAGTCGAAACATGTTCTCATCGACTGTGCCAAAAATTGCATTGAGTGCTTTTGAATTGAAGTTGGCCAACATGCTCTCACCCGTACTGTACTCGGCTTCATTTTTCTCATGTTTCTCCCCTTCAATTTCTACGGTAGGAGGAACCCATCCGGTAAGTACAGCTAACCAAGCACGTCCATCAATGGATTTAATGTAGGACGTCGTACGCATCTTCTAAGTGGTGTAATTTGAGCCATCGAGAATCGGAGGCCGAAAAAGCGAAGTTCCGTTGAACTCCATGTGTACCTATCAAGACAGAATCACACTTATTAATTAAAGCGACCCGCTCTGATGCCACTTGTTAGAATTATAGGTACCGAAAAATCCAGATTTCACACAAAGATCTAAAAATAAAATACGCAGCGGAAATTAAAAATTATGAAAGATTCAAAATTTAGCCTACAAGTGAATATCACTTGTAGACTAAGGCACATGCCAAAAATTCACTAGAACAAATCAAGTTCGATGTTTTCCATACAATACCAAAATAATTCCAACACATCTAGTGAATGACGAAAATAATAAATCGTGGTTTTAAACGAGATGCACTAAATAAAATCAAACTAATAGACTGCTGTAATATCCTCCAAAGCAAGAAAACAAAAATTGCTCCTTTGTATATGGCACCACGCTGCTGCCTTGAGAACAATCCGAAGATGCTTCCTTCTCTGTTGAACGCGATGTCCTGCTCTTGCTCTGTCTCCTTATTTTCTTTTTCCTCAAGCCTGCTAATCTCCGCAGCCCACCAGCAGGAAAGTTAAAAGTCCCAAAAGTCCTAAAGTGTTGTTATCCTTTTTTTCTTTTTTATCTTCCTAATC